AAATATGCATAAAGTTAATCAAAATTGAGTTGCAGGTATAGGCTTCAAGTTCGTGTTATGGATGGAACCGCTTTTATCTCATTATTGCTTTGGAATCGCGATGCTATGCAGCTTATAGGGAAGTCCGCAAAAGAACTTAAGGAAGGATTAGTTGAGGTATAATACTAAACTTAATTTAGTTGTCAATTATAATATTTCTAACCTCGAAAATTTGGTGTAGACCTCAATTGGGGATGCTGATTGTTCTTATCCAACTGAACTGGACGATATTCTTTATAAAAAATTCATGTTCAAGGTTATTGTTAAGAAAGAGAATATTGAGTCACAGGTCGAAATCTACAATGTTCTTAAGATTGCTGATGATGATGAACTTCTGGAGGAATACGGAAAATTCGACGACACTATCACTGTAAACATTGTTATTCACAAACCTGTGAATACAAAATTAAACTATAAATATTTTTACACTCATAAGATGAATATTTTTTTGGCTTTATTTTTAACAGGATCCACAGTTTTTTGATGGACAAAGCTCAAGTGAAGAGAAGTTTTTTGGGGTAAATTTCATGAAATTAAAACTTTTATGAGATGGAGAGATCTTCCTTATCCTTTCTTTTAAGAAGATGAAAAAGATATTAGTTTAAGACACTGGTGGGCTAGGTGATGTTCTTGGTGAACTACCACCAGCCTTGGCAGTACGTATCAATATTTGGTATGGTTTTTATCTTGATCAACGGTGTGGTTATTAAGCAATGGCACATATATGATAACACAAGACATATTGATTTATGACTCCAAAAGTGATATCAATAATTAGAAAGACATACCCTAGCAAGACACTTTGGAAAAAGACAGCAGAGTCCAACCCCACATGGTCAATAAGCTTAGGTTCAGGCATTTTCAGTCCATCTGGTATCCAGTTCATGAACCTTATATACGCCCTCCAATCAACATTACTTGCTAAAATTTTTTTAGTCAAAATTATGCAATCAATGGTGGTATTGCTCTCCAACTGCTATTAAATAATGTTTACTATTTTGTAGGATGTTATGGCCGAAAGTGAGATGAAGTCTGTTTTACAAACTCCCATTGAGAAAAGTGTGTCAGAAAGTGGATCGTCCGTGTTAGAAGATGGTAATGCTTGCAATACAAAAATATCTCCTTTGAAGACGTATGACAAGAGGAGTAGATCCGCTAATAAGGCATCAACAGTAGGACAAGATGATGACTTCAATTCTCAACTCTCTAGCAACAAGGTTCGCAAAGTCATTAAGAAAGAAAAGAATCCATGACTGGCTACTGAAATGCCTTTAGCTATGCAATTAAGAAAGTAAAGATTTTTATTATTTGCGCAAGTTATATGTGGAGACAAATCGTCTAAATATTGATCTACATTCATCTTTATTAATCATGAATTTAATCAGTAGTTATTTCAATCTTTCTATTAAGGTTTTTGATGCAACACATTAGTTACTTCAAGTTAACTGAACTTTTATGGCATGACATTAAAGGTGCTAACGATGAGGCAGCATTGTTAGCACTTCAAATTCGAATACATCATAGTAGCAGTAAGCCAAAAATATTCAATGCAATTACAGAAATAATTTTATACATCTAAAGTAGTCCCAATAGAATATGATAAACCTGGAACTCACTACTAAGAGATGAAAGGAATGCAGCAACCACTTTTACATGTCATAGTTCGCAAATAGAACACTTCTGTCAATTTTCGCGTGCTGCTACTGTATGACTTCATAGCAGGCTTGAAAATAGGCCTAATACACTTGGCTCTCAGCTTTCTTTTCATCTAACGCAATTCTCAAAGGAACTAAAGATGCCTTCTTCAAACAAGTTTCATAACATGGATGGGAGCAAATCTGGTGTTCTTTCAATCATAAATCATATATTCTTTCAATCAAAAACTTTATACAACTGTTTCAAAACATTCTAAAAAAGAAAATTATTATGCTATTGGAAGGTAATTATTATATTTGTAACAGTTTCTGTTTCCCTACACATGAAACAAAGAAACAAAATATACACAAACTGGAAGAACATTCAGTCCAATGCCAACCATTTTTCATGGAAGACTATACAATATATGTGCAAAAAAAAAAAAGGAATTATTAAAGCCTCATGCTATATATTGTATTAACAATTGTCTCTGTATCAATGACCTAAAAGTTAGATGAATTATAGAATCGATAGTGTACCATGATGCAGATTAGTGGTGAGTAAAGATATATATATATATATATGGACACCACACAATTTAGATACAATTAAAATTATCAATCAACTCTGCGTGTGAGGTGTTCATAGGTGCAACAAGGGCATCTTTCCCTTACATCCTTTCCCAAAGGTCCAGATAATTGATGCTACATTACTTTGGCTAATTACATGTTTGAGTGGAGCAGCTACAATTTTGTTTAGGCTTGATGGAATTTATACCACAGAGCACACTAAATTCACGATACACATACATAATTAGTTGGAGATGTACATTGCTTTCTCTTCACCACAAAAATAACTCAACTTATGATGTTGCAGAAAGCTGAAATTAACGGAGACATAATACAGTAGTTAATAGTTGCAGCTTATAGCATTCATATCTTCTTCTTGCTTCCAATCATCGTACTTCGCAAATTCAACATTTCCATAAAAAAGAAAACTAAATCAACTGAAATTAATCTCTGCAGAGCACTTTGTGCACTTGAAGTTGAATCAAAACATTTCTATTCCTCAGTAGTCTGCGCAAATTGAACTATAATCATGTAGATTACCATTTATACATCACAGCAACAACAAAAGCAATTCACGTTAGCCACAAAAAATAAAAAAGGGACGTTACTCTTGATGAGCAGATTACTTTAATTTAACTAACAAAGGTAGTCAAAAAACAGGCCAAGAATTACTATCTAATCTGAAAAGGACAGGGGACAAGTATTCCAAAAATATCATCTTGGACGTCGTGGAACCAATGGAATACGTTGGATTTGTGAGTCCATGTGAGGCAAGGCACTCTCATATTCTTTATACCCTTTAAAAATACTTTTGACTGTTTCACCAACCTGAAGCATGAATATAGAGTAAATCAAATGATATTGAAAGAAAAAACATGAAAAAAATAAACCATATAGCCAATAAAGCCTATACAAAGTGAAATAACATTCTATCCAACTGATCCAACCATTTTAATGGATTTGGACAGAATGGTATGTGTGTAAAACTTCCTGCAGAATTATTGAAGCCCTTTGCTATATATTCACGAACAACTGTAGATATGAAGACAAAAGTTAGATGAATTATACCATCGATAATGTGCCATCACTAGATAACCTTCTATAAATTTGCAAGGTATTCCAAACTCTTCTATGACGATTTCAAACTCTTCTAACCAACTCATTCTTGGGGTATCAAATAATGCAGGAACAATAGTTCCAACCACCACCCGTTGCATAACCATGACGATTTGCTCATACGACAAATGAACAACAATTACAAATTCTACCTCTCTTCATCTGAAGACTATTTAGCCATTATGTTTCTATTTGGCAATCTGAAAATCCAAAAATATGTAATTTCTTATGATATTACATCACATATAACTAGACCATATGTGCGATATATTAATAAGATAAGAAAAAGGAAAAAAACATACATATTCCAAACATACTCTTACGATCAAATTTCACAACCTACATCGGCTTTAAAATATGAAACATGGGAGACGAATTTCGTTCCTCCTATGGATAAATGTACATAGACACAACGATTTGTAAATATTCACAATATTAGTAAAAATGTTAATTTGGTAAAAGTTGAAACTTGCTAAGAATTAATAACAATGGGCTAACTCATTCTTCAATGAGTTGAAAATATATTGGTAATATATAAATTAAGTTTCCTGTTGTACTTTAATTTTTAATTATTTCGAAAATACATTTATGGGATTAGGATTTAGAGGTGACTGGACGTATAGTAAACTAAAAATACTACTGCACAAAAAAAATAAAAAAAAAATTGCGAACAAAAAAGAGGCGCATCAGATATGCCCTCTTTTCGTCAACTGCTTCTTTTGTTGAAGTCTCTTCAACTTCTCAAACCTAATTCAGTTTCTTACCCCAATTTTCCAACTCCTGCCTGCCTCAACGTCAATCATCTCTATAACAAGATGTATGTCGTAGTCCTGCTTTCATGGTTTTACGTTTGTTTACATTAGTTTTTCTTCTAAAATTATTGTAGTCAAGCCTGTTGTGGTTGCTTCAGAAATTTTCGACTTTGACCTACACTATCAGAAGAAAATAGAGTTTGTTTTGCATCGGAATCAATAGACTGAGGGGTTGCCAAGAAGCCCTATAAAATTTCTGATAGAATTGCGAAAGACTCTACAACTTCTCGGAAAAAATTCTATTTTTACAGCATTTTGACATGGAACAACAGAAAAAGCTCGCAAGAAAAAATCGAATATGCATACAGAAGCAGAAACAGGCTAAATTTTCCTCGAACGGTATGAAAATTTAACATTATATAGATCATGAGCAATATTGCAGTTCTTAAAACAATTTGACGTAAATTCGGTCTCTTACTAAATCTTTTTGTTCTACTATTTATTCAATTTCATAGATGCATTGGATGCTGAAATTTAAGTATATTTGTTCTACTATTTGTTCAATTTCATAGATGCATTGGATGCTGAAATTTAAGTATAAGTATAAAAAATTATGTGTCTTATATATCGTAAGAACTTTCTGATCCGTACACCATATTAGTCTCTATTATGTTGCATATCGTCTTTCTTCCGAATATGCATTATTTGATATATCATTGCATAAATTTAAAATATATTATGTCATATGTTTTATCATTTTTTACATGTTTACCCATCCCATACATCTTATGCATTTTTAAAAATTTAGAGCATTTGTAATTTTTAGGTACTTTTGATGATTAGTCGTACAGGTTTATCGTCTTTATTAGTCACTTTTATACATGCTTTACTCAGTTGCAAGTAGAGAAAAATCACAATTCTAATCAGCATATCAAATCTTATATACTAACCTTTAATTATGCTTTCTGAACAGTTTGCCAAGCTGGTAAAAGTTTTCGTTGGTCATAATTTTGGATTCTATGAATTTTGGACATTTCAGCTAGCAGTCACTCCTAGGTTTTACAGCTTTATTTTTTCAATTCAGCATATCAAATCTTATATACTAACCTTTAATGATGGTTACTGCCTTTAAAGATTTGATAAATTATTTCATTATATTGGTTTTGATAGTTTCCGTACTTTTTTCACTTATAACAGTTACCTCTTTTTTATTTTATGGTTTACAGATTGTGTCCATTCTACTACTATCAGACGGAATGCTATTGAAAAAGGAAAAATAGAACAATCATTAATGGACATAACAAATCGTCTGAATTCCCCTCAATTATGTAGTGCACCCATAAAGATCTGTGAACAAGTTTCATCATCTCACTCTCAACAACAAAATCCAAATTTAACGCAACAACATTTGCGATATGATTTTTCGCCTTCAAAATTGCAAAGTGATCATCTTTTACCGGATTTAAATGAACTACCATTATTGCAAGGTAAATATTTGTGTAAATTTTGTTATATCTTAAATGAAAATTTGAGGAAGTCAAACTTCTGTGTTGCTATTCCGGCAAATAACAAAAATAAATTTTCTTTAACTTATATACTTTTATCTGATATGCGTAATGGACTGGCCAGTAGAATAATTTATAAATTAAAAGGTTAATGTGATGCTATTATTTGCTTTTGTTTATTTTATTATAAGTAAAAATGTTTGTTATAAATATAGAATTATTATTTTTATGAATTTTGCTTTTTGTCGTTCTACTTTTGAAATTTTTATTAAGCGATTTATCTTCTCTTTTGCGATGTTTATTTTTTTTAAAAAAATATTTCTTTGGTTGATTAGCCTTAATATTTACAATACTTTTAAATGAAGATTTGTTAGCCATCTAATTTAACATGTTGTTTGATAGGCAGTTTATATTTTCATTGGAAGTATGACTAATTAGAGGCGAAGTAAGATTTAATTCATGTGATTAGTTATGCGAGTTTTTAGCCAAAGTTAACCGTTATTGATGGGAGTCGGTTTGTATTTAACTTCTATATATACTCTTAACCATCTTTAATTCCATAAGTTTGTTAAGGTATTACCTTTAGTTTAACTTAATGGAATGAGGTTGAAAGTAATGATGAAACTGTTAAAACACAAAAGTCAATAATTATTTTTTAAGCTAAACCCAACTATAAAATTATTTTTTCAAGATCAATATTGCAATAAACTTAAACTTTATCTTGACCACCATGAAATAAAAAAAATGCTACATGTTAACTTGGTTTACATACAATTTAGTATATAAAAATTGGATTGATAGTTTTCCTATCCTTTTCCACTTCTAACAATTAGTTTTTTTTTTGTTTTTATTTTATGGTTTACAGAATTGGTTGATACTACTATCATAGGGAATGCTTCTCAAAAAGGGAAAACAAAACAATCATTAACAGACATAACAAATCGTCTAAATTTCCCTCGATTTAGTAGTACCCCAATAAAGAGTTGTAGACAAGTTTCATCATCTTATTATCAAGCACAATGTCCAAGACCAATGCAAGAGCATAATTTGCGATATGGTTTGTCGAGTTCAAATTTGCAGAAAGAACATCTTCTACCTAATTTAAATGAGATACCATTATTTCAAGGTAAATATTTATGCATAATTTATTTAACTTATTTTTGAAATTTGAGGAAGACAATTTTTTGTGCCCCTATATACATGTCCACATAAATAATAAAGTTTTATTTATTTATACACATATAACTTATATGCGAAATTTGGGCAACATAATTATTTAAAAAAACTAAACATTTATTTGCTTCTCTTTATTTTCTCAAGTACACCATGTTTGTTATTTTACAATTCTACTTCTATGAGTAATTTTTTTTTTTGGGTTATACTTTTGCAATTTTCATTATTTTAAATGCACCCCTATAATTTTAAACTCAGTTTTGCAATATAATTTTTCTTCAATATGAAATTGAAAAAAGGCTAACAATTAATATTTATGTTTAGAATTTGAAGATGACAATATTGATACTGATATACCAGGTATGCCATTGAACTCACCACAACTCATACTCATACATACAAGTTTACTAATTTTTAATTTATTCATCAAGGTCATATGCAATCCGATGTACAAATTCATGATGCAAATGAAAATGATGATGTTTTTGAAGGTATTCACATATAACTCATCAATGTTCGATAATATTAAAATGTATTAACAATTCCCCTTATATTAAATTTTAAATTTTAAGCACTAATTATTATTATTTTTAGATGATGAAGTAGAGAGCTGGATGACCAATGAAGGTAAGTATGACATAATTTAAAGTTATATATACAACATACTTTTACTTTCTCTATAATAAGTACTTTAATTTTATCTCTTTATTTTACTCTCATAAAACCAGAATATTGGGATATTGGAGATGGCAATTATGAATGTGAATATTGTGGGGCATATTTCTGGTTTGAGGAAAGAGTTGACAAGAAGTATAAAAATAAAAAACCAGTTTTCACTTTGTGTTGTGGTCGTGGAAAAATCAAGCTACCAAATCCAAAGGAGCCTCCTTCGATTTTGAAGAATTTATTATTTGGATCAAGTTAATAGATAAATTCATTTCATTAAAATAACGACACTATAATTTTTGCATATATATATATATATATATATATATATCTTCTTTAACCTAACCTAATTTCACGAAGGTGCAAAAAGCAAATATTTCAGAGAGAACATTCGAACATATAATTCTATATTTGCATTTACATCAATGGGAGGAAAGGTGGATTTCTTTGTCAACAAAACAAAGGGACCTAAAACATTCAGATTGTCTGGGCAAAATTATCACCAGATTGGAAGCTTATTGCCTCCGGAGGGATCTTCTCCAAAATTTGCACAATTGTATATCTATGAAACAGAAAATGAGGTGGAAAATAGAATTCATGCTATCAGGTTAGCATAGACAATTGCTTACTCAAAATATTTTAAAATTATATTTTTTTATAAGACATAAATTGTTAGTTGAATTCAATATTTTTCTTTACAACCGTGGTGAAATGAACAATCAACTTCATGCTGAAATTGTGAATGAGTTGAAGCAAATGCTTGATGACAACAATGTTCTTGCAAAGTCATTTAGAATGGTAAGAGATCAATTTCAAACAGATGAGACCTCAAATGTTAGACTTAGACTGATTGGGAAAAGAGGATCTGATGGAAGAAGATACAATTTACCAACAGTTTCAGAGGTAGCTGCTTTGATTGTTGGAGATTTTGAACAAACAAGGTCTGACAGAGATATCATAGTTGAAAGCCAATCTGGACAACTACAAAGGATAAATGAATTAAATGCAGCATACTTAGGTTTGCAATATCCATTGCTATTTCCATATGGTGAAGATGGATACCGAGAAGATATTCCTTTAAACGATATTGATGATTCAACCGGTGGAAGGAAATGTGTTAGCACGCGTGAGTACTTATCATATAAAATTCAAGAAAGGAAGGATGAAGATCCAACAATTGTGTCAGCTAGAAGATTATTTCAGCAATTCTTGGTAGATGGTTATACAATGATGGAATCTTCTCGATTGAGGTTCATTAGGCTTCATCAAAAACAATTGAGAGCACACTTTTATAAAGGGTTACAAGATGCTATTTTACATGGGGACATAGAACCTTCTTCTCAAGGACAAAGAGTTATACTCTCTTCCAGCTTTACGGGAGGTGCACGTTACATGTTGCAAAATTATCAAGATGCCATGGCAATTTGCAAATGGGCGGGGTACCCTGATCTGTTCATAACTTTTACTTGCAACCCAAAATGGCCAGAGATTACTAGATTTGTGGAGAGTAGGGGATTATCTCCAGAAGATCGTCCCGACATTTTAACAAGGGTTTTCAAAATCAAGCTGGATCGCATGATATAGGATTTACGCGACAATAAAAATTTTGGAGAAGTAAAAGCAGGTACAGTTTTTATGTTCTACAAAATTATTATGCTTGCCCATTAATTTTACTATATGCTAATATTAAAAATAATTAATATATAAATTTAATGATCTAATTATATCTTTATTCTTCAGTGATTTATACAGTTGAATTCCAAAAGCGAGGCTTGCCTCATGCACATATCTTGCTTTTTCTTCTGAATAAATACCCAAATGTTGGAGATATTGATGGAATAATTTCAGCAGAATTACCAGATAAAAAAGTAGATCCTTATTATTATAATGCTGTTAGAAATTTTATGATGCATGGTCCTTGTGGTACTACTAGAAAATCTTCTCCGTGCATGCAAAATGGTAAATGCACAAAGCACTTTCCAAAAAAAATTTGTGTCATCAACCACAATTGATGAAGATGGGTATCCAATTTATAGAAGAAGGGATGATGGTAGAACTGCAAAGAGGATAGGTATTGAGTTGGATAATAGGTATGTTGTACCGCATAATAGATTTTTACTATTGAAGTATGGTGCACATATTAACGTGGAGTGGTGTAATCAATCACGA